TTTTTTTTTTTGTAGTTTATTTATTTATTTATTTTTTTGAATTTTTTGATTTTATTGTGTAAAATAAAAGACCCAAATTAAATCCACTAATTAACTAATTCCTAATTTAAGAGAAAACTAAATCAAAAAAATGTAAAAATGTAAAATTTTAAGATTGTAAAAGACTATTTTTGTTATTTTTCTCTTATTTTAATGATATTAATTAACTAGTAAAACTAAAAATATAAAGTCGAAGTCTAAATGCAAATGCACTATTTTTGTAGCTTTTTTATGAATTATGGCAACTAAAAATGCAAATAAAATGCAAACAAGGAAAAGAATCATGCAATTAATTCCTAAAAATTCAAATAGTGAAGGAAAACTCTAATTCTAAGGAATTTTATAGGAGTAATTTAAGCGTGGCAAAAATCACGTGCTCACACTACTGAATGGATTGTAGATTCTGGTACTTCTCACCACATTACTGCTTCACTTAACACCTTAACATATGTTAGTGAATTGAATTCTAAAGAAGAAGTTCACTTACCTAATAGAGCTAAGTCAAATATAACACACATAGGAATTGCTGAATTCCTTGAAAGTATGAAGGCTAAAGATGTGCTATATGTTCCAGATTTTAGATACAATATGTTGTCTGTATCCAAACTGACCAAAAGTTTGTATTGCCCTGTTTTTTTTTTCTGATTTTTGTATTTTTTAGGACCTCTTCACTGGCAAGGTGTGGGGGATTGGTAGGGAGAAAGGAGGTCTATACATTGTGAGGCAAAGGAACAATCAAAACAGTGTGAATGATCTAGTGAGCAGTGCAATAGTGCAAGGAAAAATACTAGATAGTGGCTTTTGGCATCGAGCACTGGGGCATGCTTCAATCAAGACTATGAAGCATATGTCATTCCTATAGGATAAAATTTAGATGTATCCATCAATAAAGACAGTTCTATTTGCCCATTAGCTAAGCAAAGAAGGCTGTTGTTTCCTACTAGTCATACTATTAGTGAAAAGTCCTTAAAACTAATTCACATGGATGTATGGGGTCCTTATAAGACACCTACTCATGATAGAAAGCATTTTTTCCTTACAATAGTATATGATCATAGCAGATTTACATGGGTCTACTTGTTGCAAATGAAGAGTGATGTTGCTACTGTACTAAAGATGTTTCTCTATTAATAACGACTCAGTTTTCTACTGTTATTAAGATGGTTAGAAATGATAATGGAACATAATTTTTTAACAAAGTATGTATTGACTTGTTCAATTCATATAATATAATTCATCAAAGCAGTTGTGTATATACCCCTCAGCAGAATAGGGTAGCTGAGAGAAAACACATGCACATTTTAGACATTGCTCGAGCATTGAAGTTTCAAGCTCAAGTTCTCACTAGATACTGGGGAGAATGTGTAGAGGGGGCTGTCTACTTGATCAATAGGCTGCCTAATGAAGTTCTACAAGGAAAATCAGCCCATGAATTATTGCATGGAAAGCCACCATCCCTTGATCATTTGCGAGTGCTTGGATGTCTTTGCTATGCCACCACTGTTGTCAGAGATGACAAGTTTGGTGCGAGGGCATGAGCAGCAGTTTTCTTAGGATATTCTACTACTCAAAAGGGTTACAAACTCTTGGATCTCAGCAGCAACAAATTTTTTGTGAGGCGTGATGTTGTTTTCAAAGAATACATATTTCTATTTGCTAAGTCCTCTAAAGCTCACTCTCACTTATTTTTTCCGATTCTTGCCCTGTCTTTGATGTAGGCCCTGAGAGGGGGAGATCTCTTGATACTCAGGTAGCTCATTAGCACAACAATCGACCTATAAATCAACAAATTCATGAGCATCAAGATGTGCACAATGCATATGCAGAAAATGCAGATTCTAGTGCAGATGCAACAAATGCAGACTCCAATGCAGATGTAACAAATGCAGATCCCAGTTCATCTCCAGACGTTGATATAATTCCTAATCAAGCTGATGTTGATCCTGTTCAACACCTTGACAATGCTGAGGTCTAAGAAATGGCGGAAATGTTTGACAGTGTATCAGCAACTGGTAATGAAGGAGTTGGAGTTCCTGATACTAATTCAACAGACTAACCTAAGGAGGTCTGGGAGAACTACTAAAGCACCACTATGGCTTGAAGACTATGTTACAACAGGAAAATAGAAGGACATTATGTATCCACTATCAAACTACATTTCTTATCACAAGTTGTCTACACAAGGCAGGACGTTAGTAGCAAATATTTTAGCAGTCATAGAACCACAAGCATTTCAAGAAGCTTTCAAAGGATGAGAGATGGATAGAAGCTATGAAGCTGGAGATCAAAGCTCTAGAAGACAACAATACATGGGAGATAGTTGATCTTCCTAAAGGCAAAAATGCAATTGGATCAAAATGGGTATACAAGATAAAATACAAAGCTGATGATGAAATTGAGAGGTTAAAAGCAAGACTAGTCGCAAAAGGTTATAGCCAAAAGGAGGAGTTGGACTATCATGAAACATTCTCACAAGTCACTAAAATGGTGATAGTCAGGTCTGTCATTGCATTGGCAGCCTCAAGGAACTCGAACATTTTCCAAATGGATGTGTATAACGCCTTTTCACAGGGAGACTTGTTTGAAGAAGTTTATATGGAGCTTCCTCAAGGCTTCAGGAGACAGGGGGAGACAAAGGTATGCAAACTAGTGAAATCCTTGTATGGTCTGAAGCAAGCTTCAAGATAATGGAACATAAAACTATCAGAGGCTTTGGTTGATGTAGGCTACTGTTAAAGCTTACATGACTATTATATGTTCACGAAGAAAGAAATGGGTGACATAATGGTGGTGTTAGTATATGTATATGATCTCACAGGAAGCAGTGGTAGCCTGATTCAACAGACCAAAGAGTATTGCATCAGAATATTAAGGTGAAAGATCTTGGAGAATTGAAGTTCTTTCTTGGGATAGAAGTGCTGAGATCATACAAGGGAAACTTGTTGAACCAAAGGAAATATGCATTGCAATTGATACAAGACTTAGGACTGGGAGGAGCCAAACCAGTCTCAACACCTTTGGACGCAAATCAGAAGTTCACTTCAATAGAGCATGACAAACATTTAGGTGTTCATGGGATGAGCATTTAGAAGATGTGACAGCCAACCAAAGATTAATAGGGAGGCTGTCGTACTTAACTATCACAAGATCAGACATAAGTTTTGCAGTGCAAATACTGAATCAATTCATGCAAACTCCAAAGAAGTCACACTGGGATGCATCATTAAGAATTGTGAAATATGTAAAACTGGAACCAGGAATGTGCATAATAATGAATAGTGGAGCAGCAGATAGTCTTACTTATTTCTGTGATGCAGATTGGGCAGCATGTTCCAACACTAGGAGGTCAGTCACAGGTTTCCTGGTTAAATTTGGGGACTCCCTGATATCTTGGAAGTCAAAGAAGCAACAAACTGTGTCGAGTAGCTCAACTGAAGCAAGAGTACGGAAGTTTACCTGCAGTAACTTCAGAGGTAGTGTGGCTTTTAGGGGTATTTGCAGAACTAGGAGTGCAGATCAAGCAGCCTGTAGACATGTTTTGTGGCAGCAAGGCAGCACTTCAAATTGCAGCAAATCCTATTTTTTATGAATGAACTAAGCACATAGAGATTGATTGTCACTTTATAAGAGACAAGATCAAGGAAGGAAAGCTGAAAACACATTATATGGGGACTAAAGAAAAACAAGCAGACTTGCTGACAAAAGGACTTGGGAGAGTTCAGCATGTATACTTGTTAGGCAAGCTAGGAGTGCTCAACATTTTACACCTCTAGCTTGAGGGGGAGTATTGAGAATAAGTAGTTAGTCTAGCACAACTTAGTAGCTAATTGAACAATTAAGTTTTTAGTAGTTAAGTTGTTAGTGGTCAGTTGACAGCTGGATGTGAGCTGTCTATTAGTGGGTTATTAGGAAGTTAGGAGTTTAATTATAAATAGCATTGTACAGTTTATTTTGACACATTCAATACAACAGTAAGCTTCCTTCTCAAATATTCTTTCTGTACTCCATGAATGAGCTGAGAGATAGAGCTTCATACAGTGGGAAATTTGACAATTTGTTACCTAGCCTTGTTTACTGTCATCATCATTCTATATACTGAATGCATTCAGCCCTTTTCCCATGTCTACATATCAATTAAAAATTAAATATCATTACTACGGTAAAAGGATTTGTGTTGATTTTGTTGAAATTCTCTACTAAGCTTGAGGTGTATACGGTCCTTAAGGATATTTACTGATGGTTGTATCCTCGTTGATTGAACAAGTAAACTCTACTAATACTCCATCCATTTCAATTTATGTGAACCTATTTCCTTTTTAGTCCGTGTCAAAAAGAATGATCCTTTTTTCTTCTTGAAAATAATTTACTTTTATGCAATGATTGATAGCCACAAAAAATATATGTGCCTCATTTTACAGCACAAGTTCAAAAGTTTTCTCTCTTTTCTTAAAGTCAAATGGGTTCACATAATTGAAAGGGAGGGAGTATAAATTAGGAAGAGAATTTTTTATACAGCACCATCTTTTAGCCCTAATTAGTCATTTATAGATACCCTTTATGTTTTTATACAATGTATTTCATGTATTTCATGTATTTAAGCAGTTGTATTCATTAATACAACCAAAAAAATAGGCGTAAAAACGGGAACTCCAGCTAAGGGGTATCTGTATTTATCTGTATTCAAGCTGAATACAGATAAAATTCAGTAACGTTTTTGCGCAAATTCTGGGAAGTTAAACTTGTTAAAAACGGAAGGAAATAAATTCACATGATAGTCTCCTAATTTAACTCAAAGAAATAATACGAGTACACAATAATCTTCTCAAAGAAAGCAGAATAATCTTCTCCCTTTTTTCGTGAAAAGAAGCAAAAAACAGAGCATCCAAATTCTTCAATTCTCTTCTCCTTTTTTTCGATTGATAAAAATTATATACAAAATAAGGTATAGTTGCTCTATACATATGGCAAGTTTAACAGTTTTGTTGCGTCATTCTGGCAAGTGGAACGATGAGGGCAATTATATCGATTTTGCAATTGAGGGAATACTGATTAAGGAGTATGCCTCCTTTAATGATCTAGTTGCTTCAATTTCTAATCAACTGGGTATAGATTTGAGCTCAAAGACCATTAAAATACAATACAAAGTAGAAGGAAATTGCACGCCAATGGAAATACACAATGATATGGGTTACAGAGTGTACGTAGAATTGAAAAAAGAATTTGGGATGTAACCTTTGTGCGTAACTACTATCGAAAAAGAGCTTATAGACGGAGCAGTTCAAATGTACGATTCCGATACTGATAATACACTGGCTATAGAATTTGTCAATTCAGGAGAAGTGATTGGAGTGTTCGAACTCCACAATGATTTGATAATTTCAAAAACCAATCAAAAGGAGGTTATGGCCGGACAAGTTTATAAGGATAAGGCTACATTGAAAGAGGTGATGGAGAATTATGCTATAGATCAAAGGTTTCAATTCCGGGTTGATCGGTCTAATGCTGTCAGGTTTGCTTTTTGTTTAAATTTGTTGTATTTATGCGCATTTGTGTGTTTCCTCCTGATGAACACATATGAAAACATATATTTGTTTAGGGTGCTTAAATACATGTATTCAAATGTATTTTAATGGTGTACAAACACAACAGTGGCTCTAATTATTTTCTTATTTTGTCTACTGTGGTATTAAGTATTTGCATATTCATACAAGTGTATTCATTGTGTTTGAACGCATGTAGCTATATTGGAATTCAGTAGTATACAAAATTATATATACACTTGTGAATTTGTTAACATGTATTCAGGATGTATATATGTCAGATTCTATTTGTCTGATGTATGAGCTGTATTTGTTGTAAACAAGTATGCTAATCAAATGTTAAATGATGCAGCTATGCATTATTATGTATTTCAGAAGATTGTGAATGGAGGTTTAAGGCTTCAAGCATTAACAAATCAGAACTATTCAAGGTGAGAGAATTCAATGATAACCATACATGTCCGCTGAAGGATAAGGTGTACGAGCAGTGGCAGGGTAGTAGCAGCCTTATAGGTGGTATTATAAGGCCAAAGCTTACAAACCATAAGAGGAAATACACTCCGAGGGACATTATTGACGATGTGAAATCAGATTTAGGTGTAAATGTTAGCTACATGTTGGCGTGGAGGGCTAAAGAAAAGGCAATGAATTTTCTTAGAGGTGAACCGGCTGATTCATACAAAAAATTACCAGGATACTTATATACAATGGATATGACATATCCAGGTTCCCACATCAGAATGGTAAAATCGCCAAAGAATGAATTCATGTACGTGTATATATCATTGTATGCCTTTATAAGGGGGTTTGATCATTGTAGACCAATTGTTGTTGTGGATGCAAGTCACTTAAAATCTTACTACACCGGGACATTCGTTTCGGCAAGCACGTTGGATGGTGCAGGTGAGTATCTGAATAATAATACAATCTGTTAATATTTTAAATATTGAAATACATATATTAAGAAATAGTTATATTCAATTGTATTTACAGGTCATATATTGCCACTAGCATATGGTGTTATTGATTCAGAGAACGATGCTGCTTGGACGTGGTTCTTTGAGCAATTCAAGATAGCATACGGTGTAAGGGAAAACATGTGCATCGTTTCAGATAGAAATGAGAGTATCATTAAATCTGTATCGAGAGTGTATCCGGATGTACCGCATTTTGCTTGTATATGGCATCTATGGAACAACGTATATAAGAAATTCAAAAAGAGCCATGCCAAGTTGAGAGAGATATACTTTTCGATGGCAAAAGCATACACAGAAGCTGAATTTGACAGTCTAATGGAGAAGGTGGAGAAGGTAGATATAAGGGTGAAAGAATACTTAGAGTTAGCTGGTTACGAAAAGTGGGCTAGGTTGTATGCACCTGTTAACAGGGGATGGACAATGACATCAAATATTGCTGAGTCAATCAATGCCGCACTAGTTTCAGCAAGGGAATTGCCAATATACGACTTCCTCGAAGAAGTTAGGAAGATGTTTGGACGTTGGAATTGTAGTAACTGCAAAGAAGCTACACAGACATACAAGACGCTTGGGAAAAAATACCAGGAGATGCTGGAGTTGAATGAGAGAATGTGTACACGTATGACTGTAAGTTAAATTTTACTGTCATTGCTGTATATATTTTTAGTTAATTTCTGAATTACTGGCATGAATACAACTGAATACAATCATTTTTAAGTAGAACTACCATTAATATATATGAATGCAACTACATTCAAGCACATAACATGCATATTTTTCCATAGATCTGATATGAATACAACTGAATATAACTAATTTACATGCTGAAAAAACTATTGGAATACATCAGAATGCAACTAGCTATATGATATGTAATTTTTATATGTATTGTCAATACGTATGATTATAATGCTTTTGTTAGCATACTGTTGCCTAAACTACAGCAGACTTTTGATAAGTTCTGCACTTCTCGCAGATGACATTTTGCTGGTCTAAATATATGATGTATTCATATATATGCAAATGTTTCTGTTATATGTAACTTATTAATTCAACATTATACATTTGGTAATTCAGGTAAATGTGTTCAAAACTTATATTTCTATTTTTAAATGTAGGTGGTACCATCAAATGAATACTTACATACGGTTAACGATGGTGGGAGGAATTATACAGTCTGCCTGTTAGAGAGAAAATGTGTTTGTGGGAGGTTCCAAATTGATGAATTGCCATGCCCACATGCTTGGGCTGTATTGAAGAGCAAGTTTCTAATGCCAGAATAATATTGCTCTAACTATTACAAACCAAGTAAAATTGTAATGACATACGATGTGCCAGTGTACATGCTTGGGCTGTATTGAAGAGCAAGTTTCTAATGCCAGAATAATATTGCTCTAACTATTACAAACCAAGTACAATTGTAATGACATACGATGTGCCAGTGTACCCACTATCGGACAAAAATGACTGGAATATACCAGAACATGTAGCAGAGGAGGTTGTACTACCACCCAAATGGAAAAGACCTCCTGGAAGGCCAAAGAAGAAGCGCGATAAAACTTTAAGTGAACTGCTGCAGCCGAAAA